AACGTGCTGCTGTCTGAGCAGGGCGACGTGAAACTGGCGGACTTTGGGGTGGCCGGGCAGCTCACGGACACGCAGATCAAGAGGAACACGTTTGTGGGCACGCCCTTCTGGATGGCGCCCGAGGTCATCAAACAGTCTGCCTATGACTTCAAGGTGGGTGACAGCGGCCAGGGCTGTGGGTGCCGTGGCCTCCTCGGGGTGCCGCACGCAGCAGTGGTCCTTTTGGCACCCTGTGCAGGCCGACATCTGGTCCTTGGGAATCACAGCCATCGAACTTGCCAAGGGGGAGCCCCCGAACTCCGACCTGCACCCCATGCGAGTCCTGTTCCTGATCCCCAAGAACAACCCACCCACGCTGGAGGGTGCCCACAGCAAGCCCTTCAAGGAGTTCGTGGAGGCCTGCCTCAACAAGGACCCCCGCTTCGTAAGGCCCGCCTCACCCCCTGACCCAGGCAGGCTGTGGCCTGCGCAGCTCCCAGAATGGGGGGGTGTTCACCCAGGGGGCAGCAGGATTCAGAGGTGACTCCCAGCCTCGGTGCCCATCCTGTCGTGTGCGTGGCCTCCCTGGGGCAGCGCCCAGCCTGTCACGTGTGTGGCCTCCCCGGGGCAGCGCCCAGCCTGTCACGTGTGTGGCCTCCCCAGGGCAGCGCCCAGCCTGTCACGTGTGTGGCCTCCCCAGGGTAGCGCCCAGCCTGTCACATGTGTGGCCTCCCCAGGGCAGCGCCCAGCCTGTCACGTGTGTGGCTTCCCCGGGGCAGCGCCCAGCCTGTCGTGTGCGTGGCCTCCCCAGGGCAGCGCCCAGCCTGTCACGTGTGTGGCCTCCCCGGGGCAGCACCCAGCCTGTCACGTGTGTGGCCTCCCCAGGGCAGCGCCCAGCCTGTCACGTGTGTGGCCTCCCCAGGGTAGCGCCCAGCCTGTCACATGTGTGGCCTCCCCAGGGCAGCGCCCAGCCTGTCACGTGTGTGGCCTCCCCAGGGCAGCGCCCAGCCTGTCACATGTGTGGCCTCCCCAGGGCAGCACCCAGCCTGTCACATGTGTGGCCTCCCTGGGGCAGCGCCCAGCCTGTCGTGTGCGTGGCCTCCCCAGGGCAGCGCCCAGCCTGTCACGTGTGTGGCCTCCCCAGGGCAGCGCCCAGCCTGTCACGTGTGTGGCCTCCCCAGGGTAGCGCCCAGCCTGTCACATGTGTGGCCTCCCCGGGGCAGCGCCCAGCCTGTCACGTGTGTGGCCTCCCCAGGGCAGCGCCCAGCCTGTCACATGTGTGGCCTCCCCAGGGCAGCGCCCAGCCTGTCACGTGTGTGGCCTCCCCAGGGTAGCGCCCAGCCTGTCACATGTGTGGCCTCCCCGGGGCAGCGCCCAGCCTGTCGTGTGCGTGGCCTCCCCTGGGGCAGCGCCCAGCCTGTCACGTGCGTGGCCTCCCCAGGGCAGCGCCCAGCCTGTCATGTGTGTGGCCTCCCCAGGGCAGCGCCCAGCCTGTCACATGTGTGGCCTCCCCAGGGCAGCGCCCAGCCTGTCACGTGTGTGGCCTCCCCAGGGCAGCGCCCAGCCTGTCACGTGTGTGGCTTCCCCGGGGCAGCGCCCAGCCTGTCGTGTGCGTGGCCTCCCCAGGGCAGCGCCCAGCCTGTCACGTGTGTGGCCTCCCCAGGGCAGCGCCCAGCCTGTCACGTGTGTGGCCTCCCCAGGGTAGCGCCCAGCCTGTCACGTGTGTGGCCTCCCCGGGGCAGCGCCCAGCTGTCGTGTGCGTGGCCTCCCCGGGGCAGCGCCCAGCCCGTCGTGTGCGTGGCCTCCCCAGGGCAGCGCCCAGCTGTCGTGTGCGTGGCCTCCCCGGGGCAGCGCCCAGCCTGTCGTGTGTGTGCACACTGCCCAGGCGTGGCGGTGTCTGCTGACGGGTGTCCTCACCCTGATAGCGGCCCACGGCCAAGGAGCTGCTGAAGCACAAGTTCATCACGCGCTACACCAAGAAGACCTCCTTCCTCACCGAGCTCATTGACCGCTATAAGCGCTGGAAGTCGGAGGGTCACGGCGAGGAGTCCAGCTCCGAGGACTCGGACATGTAGGGGCCCTGGGCTCTCCGGCACGGGTGGGGTCCCCCCTCGAGGTTTAGTCCCCTGGACAAAGGATGGGACGCGTGGCATCGTCTGGGTGCTGCACCCTGGACAGGGCTCCCCCAGCATCAAGAGCCTCCCAGAAACTCAACCACGGGTCCTGGGGCCCTGGGGGATCCCGCCCTCCTTGTCCTTTCCAGTGACGGGGAGGCCGAGGATGGAGAGCAGGGCCCCGTCTGGACGTTCCCCCCGACGGTCCGGCCAAGCCCGCACAGCAAGCTGCACAAGGGGACCGCCCTGCACGGCTCACACAAGGTGCGTCCTGGCCCGGCCTGGGAGGCTGGGCCCACTCAGCTCCCGTGGGCAGCAGACATGGGCTGGGTGAAGACCCTCAACCTGGGGCCTGGACAAAGAGCTCAGGGCAGAGTGGGGGTCTGAGGCCCAGGGTGGTGCTGTGCTGAAGGCGTGGAGCCCTGGGTGGGGCCTGTTCAGAGTTGACCGAGCAGCACTGGTGAACAGGGCCCTCAGCTCAGGCCACTGTAGTGTGGAGCCAACTCCTGGTGTCTTCCGTGCCACTCCACACTGTCAAACGTGGAGGGTGACCTGCCCTGTGCCTTGGCTTCCCCTCACAGCCAGCGGAGCCAGTCAAGAGGCAGCCCAGGTCCCAGTGTCTGTCCACGCTCGTCCGGCCCGTGTTTGGAGAGGTGAGGGCAGGCTGGGCCTGTGACGTGGTTCCCCTGGCGGTCTCTCCTGTTAGACCTGTGGGCGGGGCTTCCTGGGGGGAAGGACGGGAACTGCAGCCTGCCAAGGGCCTCTGGCATCCCAGGCTGACATGAACAACTTGTTTCCTGTCATGCTTTTCCGCCAAGAGTAGACACCAGCTGATCCTTCTGTAGGGAGAAGGCGTGGTTGTGGGAGGGGCATCCCAGACAGGGGGCCCAGGGGCGACTCCTGGTGGCCAAGTGATGTGTGTCCGGGTCTGCATCAGTCCCTGGATGTGATGTAGCTGGGGGCCCCCTGCCCCGGGCTGGGGTGGAGGTCCAGGAACAGCACGGCCACCCTCGGGTGTGATAGCAGCACCTGCAGTCCAGGCAGAGGGTGGCTGCCAGCCCCAGCCTGTGTCCAGTTGCGGCATGGTGCTAAGGCCTGGCCGTGTGGCGCATTTGGGAGTTTGCCGATTCACTCCCCCAAACACCTGCAGTGGCCGGGTGTAGGATGTGCTGGGGCTGGGAGCTCAGGCCAGGTCTCCCACCTGGGCCCTCACCACTGCCTCCCAGGGTCTGCATTAGGAGGAAGCTGGGGTCAGAGGCACCTTCCTCACCGGGAGGCCGAATGCCCGGGGCTGCATGCTTCTAGACCTCATGGACGGAGGCCCTCTAGTCCCCGCTCAGAACCAAGGCCCCAGACTCTTCCCTAGAAAGCAGAGGAGAGATGGAGCCTTTTTCTTTTTTAAAAAAGATTTATTTGAAAGGCAGAGTTACAGAGAGGCAGAGGGAGGGAGGGAGGGAGGGAGGGAGGGAGAGTGAGAGAGAGGTCTTTCATCTGCTGGTTCACTCCCCAAATGGCTGCAATGGCCGGAGCTGGGCCAATCTGGAGCCAGGAGCTTCTTCCAGGTCTCCCACGTGGGTGCAGGGGCCCAAGCACTTGGGCCATCTGCTACTGCTTTCCCGGCCATAGCAGCGAGCTGGATCAGAAGTGGAGCAGCCGGGACTTGAACTGGCGCCCATATGGGATGCTGGCACTGCAGGCGGAGGCTTTACTATACCACAGCACTAGCCTTGGGGTTTGAGCCTTGTGATAGAAGGAGCAGTAGGTCCCCCTGGGCAGTGTGGGGTCACAGGGCCTTGTGTGGTGCCACTGGTCGGCTCCTGGAAGGCTCCCCTGCCCTGCCCTCTGGCTGAGCACTGGCATCGGGCGTGGCTGTGCTCTCAGCTCAGAGAGAAGCACTCGCAGAGTGGCGGGGGCGTGGGGGCCCTGGAGGAGCTGGAGAACGCCTTCAGCCTGGCGGAGGAGGCCTGCCCTGGCATCTCGGACAAGCTGGTGGTGCGCCTGGTGGAGCGTGTACAGAGGTGAGAGCCGGGGCCTGCCTTGCCGTCCCCTCCCTCTACCTGTGGCTTCAGGCTGTGCACGGAGCTTCTCCCCGTCCCCAGCCCGGTGCGGCAGCCGTGCCGTGTGCTGCCCGCTGCTCCACCTGTGCGGCTCAGTCTGGGGCGCAGCCCTGAATCCTCAGGAGTCCTCGTCCCCGGGACTGTGCAGGAAGAGACACCCCGCCCAGCCCGTGCAGGCGCGGGGGCCAGGCCGCATGGACGCCAACACCCGGAGGTCAGGCCGCGAGCAGTGACGGGCTTTTCCCGGCAGGTTCTCACACAGCAGAAACCACTTGCCCTCCACCCGCTGAGGCTGCTGTGCCCAGGGAGGAGACAAGCCGTCGTGCTTCTGTGCGCCTGCGAACTACGCTGACTCAGAAGCCCCCCGTGCTGTGTCGTGACTGCAAGGACACATCAGCCTGCAGGCCCCGCGCGCTGGGTCACGTCCCCTCCTGTCCCCCGACCTGGCTGAAGCTACAGCTGCTGGACTGAGCAGCCCTCTGGCCCCTGTGGAGTGACGAGATGCGGCCACCAGGCAGCTCTGCCGTCCCCTAGCAGGGGTGCCGGCCCGGGGGCCTCATGCTGCCAGATCAGGTACTGTCTGCCTGAGTTCTTGTGTCGTCAGGACGCTGTGTTTTTTTAAGAAAACTGAACTTTTCTTGTTTCCTTAAATAGTTTTCGTAGACTATTGAGAGGCACTGCCGCTTTCAATAAAGACTGACTTGGTGACACGCCCGGGTCATCGCAGCCACGGCTGCCGCCCAGCCTCCCTCCCGAAGCCACCTGTGGCCCGGTGCGGGGCAGAGCCAGGCGGAGGGCACGTGCCGGCTGGGATCGGCCGTTTATTTGTAGTCACGTGTGCGAGAGGAGTCCACGTCGGCTTCCAGTGGCTGAGCGGTGTGAGTGCCCGTGGGTTGGAGGCCATGGGGCACTCTGGGTTCTGCGCAGGCCCTGCCTCAACCAGGCCCAGGCTTGACGTGGGACTGAGTGGGCAGAACTCTCAGCCCCTCCCAGGGATAGAAGTCCCTGCCCCGTGGCCAGCAGGCCTGAGTGCAGTGCTTGTCGGAGGCCGGCTGGAGCTGGACTGTGGGGCTGCCTGCCCCAGGATTTGTCTGAGGCCAGTCCTCAACGGGAGCCCTGCCCTGGGGAGTGGACAGGGCGGGAGGGCCGTGCTGAGACGGGCATGTGCCTGTCCTCTAGGTGCCCCAGGGGGTTTTGGTGGGGCAGAGCCTCCCCAGAGGTGGCTGTGAGCTCCCCCCATGCTGTTGGTGCTCACTGTGACTCAGTGCGGTGGCCACCTCTCTGCAGGCGTCCTCGTCCAGGCAGGGTGCAGTCAGGCCTCCCTGCCCCCAGCTGGGCTGTCCTGCACGAGGCTTGGGGGTCTCCCGGGCGAGCTGCTGGCGCTCTCGATCACTTCCATCCACCTGCAGGAGGGTGGCCTCCCAAGTGACCCGAGGCACAAGGGCCGCGTCCCTCAGCCGCCCAGAAAACCCGCCTTCCGCTGCACGGATGGAAGTGGGCTCCTGGGCACCGCTCAGCCGGGGCTGCCCGCTGAGAAGTTACCTCTCAAACGTGTACTTGCTCTCGGCTCGGAAGAAGTAGACGTGGGACTTGAACTGGAGCTTGAAGACGTAGTCTTTGTGGATGCCATCGGCCTCCCTGGGGACACTCACGCTGTAGCCCAGGAGCGGGAGGCTGGCCAGAGGGTGGTCGTCCTGAGGGCAGCACGAGGCTCAGTCTGGAGGGCTGGGGGCCGGCCCCCTCCCTGTCCCCACTGCCCCCAGCCCTCCCTGTAAGAAGTCAGCGTGTGCAGAGGGCGGCAGCGTGGGGTGTGGGGCTGAGAGACGCCTCGAGCCCCTCCCCTTCACAGCCCCCACGTGCCCAGCAGGGCCTGTACCTGGTGAGTTTTGTAGAAGAACAGGCAGAAGTTCGTGACGACGACCCAGAGCTTCTGCCAGCCACTGCTGTTCTTGAACTTGCGCAGCAGGTACCCCGAGAGCTGGTTCTGCAGCAACAGCCAGAGCCACGCGTCGGCCCCCATCTGGTTGTGTCAGCAACCCCGAGAGTGCCACCGAGGGGCCCTGAGGCCCACTGTGCTGACGCGGAAGGCCGGTGACCGGGGCGGGAGGTGCAGGCCCCCCCCGCCTGGCGTCCACCCGCCGCAGCTGTCTGCTAGCACCCTGCTCTCGCGGGGAAGTCCTAGGGCAGGTCCAGAGGTGGCGCGTGGAGGCACCAGGCTGAAAGAAGCTAAGGTTCTTTGCAGCCAGATGGGTGGGCACGAGCTGGACGGCCGGGAGAGCCCAGCCTGGGGCAGCCTCTGCCGGGGCTTCCGAGGGAGAAACACGCCTTCCACCAGCGGCTGTCCGGGGAGAGCAGGCAGCGGCCCCCTCGGCTCAGCTCTGTCCCTGGGCCCCCCAGCACCAGCACGGGCGGAGGGGTGGTTGCTCACAGCAGCCGTACCTCCACGGCAGCGCTGTGGTCGGCTCTGGACACACTTGTGTTCCGGTACCAGCACACGTGCTCCGTGGTGTTGGCCCGGTGTGGGCTCCGCCCCTCCAGGGAGCCCTGAGCGCCCAGAGCTGCTGCTTGTGACTCGTGTTCCGCGGAGACCTCGTCAGGTGGCCCTGGGGGAAGGCGGCAGTTATTAACGCCAGTGGCAGGTGCCCGGGAGCTTGGGGGAGACACCCCTGCCCCCCAGGAGCTGCACGGCAGACTCGGTCGCTTCCTCCTCCAGTAGGGAATGAGGGCTCACGGGAGCTGAGCCGCTGACGAGTCCTGGAGCAGTGGGGGTCTCCTGGGAGGGGAGCCGGCCAGGACTCACGGCATGCTTGAGTGCACAGGGTGCCAGCCGGCAGCACCGGGGCCGTGTCGCCACCGCCGCTCTGGGCTGCTTGGATCGCAGCGTTGAGGTCCTGCATCCACTTGTCCTTTTCCAGCCGGGTGCTGTGGGGGAAGGGCAGGGCTGCTCTCCTGGCCTGGGGTGCCTGTGCCACCCGCGAGTCCAGGGGTCCACTGGGGTGAGTCATGGAGTGGAAGGCTGCGGAACAGGGTCCCTGCAGGGCGGCTGGCTGGCGGTTCACTTCCCGGTGGGAGGGGCTGCCTGTGTCTCCAGGGGGCACGGTACACAGGAGGCCGTCGTGCAAGTCCTCATAGGTCAGCCGACACCCCCACCCCCGAGGAGGCAGCTGCCCCTTGGGCTCGCAGTCCGACCTGATGTCCCTGTGAGGCTCACCCCAGCTTCCCAGCTCAGGAGGGACTCGGGGGGCCTCACCTGGCCGCCACCACGACTGTCTTCCGAGCCGCGTAGATGGTGAAGCAGTGTGGGCCCGGCCACTGGCTCTCGGCCTCCTCCACCTGCAGGCAGGAGCACAGGCCCACCTCAGGGACGGGGCAGCAGCTGGCAGGGGACCGACTACCAGCAACGCTAGGTGCGGCCGCTTGGAAGTCCTGTTCTGTCCAAGCCTGCAGCGCTATGAGGGAGGCTAGAGGAGGGGCTCTGGTGTCCCGGCCATGACAGCTGCCACCCAGGGGGTGAGCTGTGGGCCGGAGGGCACCGACTACTCACCGGGGGGTCCAGCACTATCAGCTGAAAATCAAGCAAAGGAGAAATATTGAGCATTTTCATGATGCAAGATGGAAACAGGTTATTTATAAACCTGATACCAACACCTAACAAAGTTAGGCTCCAACCTGAAGGCTGGAGTCAGCTGGGAGTGATTTGGGGACACTATCCCAAAGCGGAACAGCCCCATCCAGCCTGGAAGCCTAGAAGCTGTGCCCAGGTTCTAGGAGTGCTAGGGCTCTCAACACGAGGCTGGGGCGTGGCACTGGTCTGCAGGAAGCACCTGCGCCGAGATCCGCTCGGACACGCAGGGAAGCGGTTCCTGTGCTTGAGATAACCCCCTCAGGCCGCACCTTGGCTCCCCCTGGCTCCCCAGGACCCCACAGGATGGACAGTGCCCTCTGCCTGGCCCACAGGTGCCAGCTGGGCAGGAATGCCCAGCCAGCATGAGTGACAGCGTTCCCCTAAGGTCAACCGAAATCCCAGTAGTGTATTCAGAAAAAATTTGTTCACGTGACTCCCAAGTTTTCTTGGACAAGTTCAGTGGCCAGCAAAGGACGTCCCGGAGGCGGGCAGGTCGGACGGCATGTGTGTCTACACGGCTGCCACACAGCAAAACCCAGCAGTGAGACGTGCAGGATTTGACAGGAGGGGAGAGTGACTGGAGGAGGAAAAGTCACATTTCCAAATAACATCTATCAAAACTACGGGGCCAGCGCCGTGCTGCAGCGGGTTTGAGTCCCGGCTGCTCCACTTCCGATCCTGCTCAGCTCCCTGCTGTGGCCCAGGAAACCAGCAGAGGATCACCCGAGTGCTCGGGCCCCTTCTGGCTCCTGGCTTCGGCCTGGCCCAGCTCTGGCCGTTGCAGTCATCTGGGGAATGAAGCAGTGGATGGAAGACCTCTCTCTGCTTCTGCCTCTCTGTAACCTTGACTTGCAAATAAATACAATTTTTAAGAAGTAGCCATAAGTAGAATTCCAAACAAAGCTAAGTATAGGCAAGCCGACCTAGGTGACAGGATGGGCCGTGAAGAAAGTGTGCATGGATCTGGAACAGGAGGCACTGAGTTCATACAAAGGACAGGAAAACCCTGGAGAGAACGAGGGGGGTGCCTGCGCCTGAGCCCCAGCTCCGCTCCTGCTTCCAGCCTCCTGCTCACGCGTGCCCTGGGAGGCGGCAGTGATGGCCCCTGCACCCACGTGGGAGGCGCAGATGCAGCTCCTGGGCCCAGCCTGGCCCAGCCCTGGTTGTCGGCATGAGGGAGCCGGCAGATGGACGATCGTCCTGTCTTGCTCTGTTACCCTGCTATTCAAACAAATCTTAAGGTGGGCAGAGGTGACCACGGATGAATGCTCAGATGCCCTCGTGCCATTCTAGAATATTCTAGAACCACACGCACAGCCCAGCAGCACGGGGCCTGAACTCCATAAGGAAAAGCCAGATGCAAACGTAGGAAAAGAAAGTAGGCTGTGACCTACAAGGGCTGCCTAGGGTCTTCCGCCATGGAGAGCAGGGTGTGGCCCCTGAGTGGGAGGCACCGTGGCAGGAGGCAGGAGGCGGGGGGCCTCACCGACAGTCCCAGAATTGCTCTCTGCACAGCGCACCCTCCCCCAGCTGTGGGAGAGGCATGTCAGACCAGGTCCCCACAGCATCTGTGTGCCTGTGGCTCAGATCCCACCACAGGCTGGACTTCTCTCTTTAGGACAAAAAGACTTTGGAGAGAGGCCTCGTGTCTGAGACGCTGATGGGAGGAGGAACCGGGTCTGGCTCCCCATCCACTGCTTGTCCCTGCTGCCCGCGAGAAGACAGGACATGAGAAGAAGTTGGGCAAACAGCAAAGCGGACGCGGTGCTGGGACCAGGTTGCTGACTTGGTGCACTACCATCGGTCACTAGACGCACTGGCCACACAGGACAAGGGCTGATAAGCCAGAGCACACGGGAGGAAGGATTTACAGTCCTCAGAACACATGAAGGCATCACCAGCCTGGTGGCTGTGCCGTCCCAGGTGTGTCCATGTGGGACCGGGGCCGGTGTAACACGGGGCTTGTGAGAGTTGCTCACGTCCAGAATTCTGTTCCCAGGTGCAAGAGCAAATGGACATGATGCAGTGTACTGGGGCGCTGAGATCTCTCTGAGCTTGGGAGGGGACAGGCCTCATCCTGCCTGGTGACTGACAGCCGGAGATGGGGCAGAGACCAGGAGACAAACCAGAGAAGCCAGCAGGCGCATTCCACACGGTTTCCTTTCCACTGGAATTTGGATTTGCCACTGCAGGGCCTGTGTCACTCACCAGCATGCCACGGAGCGGAAGGAGGCCCCGTATCCGGAAGTGGCTGCTCCCGGTGACACCTTTGCTTGTATACAGCAACATATCTGAGAACTGAGAGGGAAGCTGTAGATCAGCAAACTAAAAACAGTGACAAACCTCAGTTTCTGAATCTATCGAACCAGCTGAGATGCCGGCAGGTGGCCGTCAGAGCTGTCCAGCCTGCTGCAGAGCTGTGGGAGGAGAGGACTCGGACTTCACTTTTGGGCCATTTTTGGCCAGAGGTGAGCAGCAGCCACAGGAAGCAGCTGGCTTGTCGGGCCTGGGGCTCCGCGGGTGCCGCCGGTGATGGCCTAGCTTGCGTGGTTCACTGTGGAGTATGTTCCTGGGCCCAGAGATCAGGGCACAGGCAAGGAGCTGACGACAGGGAGCCTGGTGGGAACAAGGCCCTGCTGAGTGAGCTAGGCCCCCCGGCTAGTGGGAAACCCTCCTGCAGCCACGGGACGCTGCTGCTTGTCCTGTGGACAGGTGTCCGGGATGCGGGATGAGGATGGAGCTGGGCAGAGCGGCTGCGTTCTGCCTCACACCTGGAAGCCCCGTGCACCAAGGCCTCAGGGGCTGGGGTGCGGAGAGGCCGGGGCCGCCAAGTGCCGGCTCCTGGGCAGAACGCCTGGGCGCGGAGAACCTACCAGGAAGAACATCCTCTGCTGTGGTCCCTTCCTGGTGAGCTCGTGGAGGCAGCCCTCGCGGATGAGCTCCTGGGAGACAGACAGACCCGCTGAGCGCCAGGGCCGCTGAACCCCACCTCCCGCTCAGAGGTGTGCCCCGGGACGGGCAGGAGGCAGAGAAGGCCCAGCGCCCGCTGGGACCAGACCTGGGTGTGGGAGCCCCTGTGCCCACATCTCAGCTCCTCCTAACAAGGACACAGCCTAACACATGTGTGGGTGCAGAGGAGGGGCCCCCAGGCCAGTGCGCTGAGGTCAAATGAAGGGCATTTGTGATAGAAACTGAGCATCTCCCCAGGAGAGATCTGGAGACAAGCCACGTATGGAGGCTGTGGAGTTAAAAGAAGAAACTTTAGAGGCCAGGGCGGGGTGCTGTGTGTGAGAGAGACTGCGGATGGTACAGGGCTTTGTTCTGGAGCAATGGAAACGTTCTGAATTAACAGCGATGATGGCTAACCCTGGGAATGCACCAAAAATCACTGAATTATACGCTTGAAAAAAGGCTTTTTTGTGGCCGGCACTGTGGCGTGGTGGGTAAAGTCACCTGCAGTGCCAGCTTCTCTGTGGGCGCCGGTTTGAGTCCCCGCTGCTCCACTTTGATCCAGCTCCCTGCTATTGCACCTGGGCTTAAATATTTGGGCCTCTACCCACACAGGAGACCCAGAAGAAGCTCCTGGCTCCTAGCTTCAGACTAGCCCAGCTCAAGCTGTCGCTGCTATTTGGGGAGTGAACCAGCAGATGAAAGACTGCTCTCTGTGTCTCTCCTTCTGTAACTCTGCCTTATAATAAATAAATAAATCCTTATTTAAAAAAAAGACTTTATTTGAAAGTCTGAGTGACAGAGAGGGAGAAGCAGAGACAAAGGTCTTCTATGCTCTGGTTCCCTCCCCAAATGGCCACAACAGCCAGGACTTCGTCAGGCCAAAGCCAGGAGCCTGGATCTCCATCTGGGTCTCCCATGTGGGTGCAGGGACCCAAGAACTTGGGCCATCTTCTGCTGCCTCCCAGGCACCTTAGCAGGGACCCGGCTCAACAGTGGAGCAGCCAGTGGTGGCTTGACCTGCTGAGCTGGCCACAGACTGGCCCCTGAATTATACACACTCCAAAAAGGTGAACTGTATGGGAATTTTTTTTCAATAAAAAAAAAAAAAAAAAAGACAGCCAGCTTAAAAAATTTCCCAAAGCCGCAGCACTCACCCTGCCCGGAGCGGCGAGGTTCTCCATGCCGACCAGGGCCCGCTGCAGCTCCACCAGCTTCTGCAGGTTCTGGAGCCGCGCCAGGCTGTGCTGGAGCGCCGCAGTCACCTCGGAGATGGCCTGGAGGGCGTCTGCGGGAGAGGGGCAGCCCTGCAGAGCCGCCCACCACCCACCGCCCACTGCCCACCGCCCGGGACGGCACGACCGGCTCACAGCGGGGTACGGGGCTGGGGGAGGAGGGGCCTGCACTTGACAGCAAATGCCTGCTTCACAGCAGGGTTGGCTTCAGACCCTCTGGGGTGAGGGTGGGGGCCCTGCTCCACCCCAGCAGGACTCCCCCTTCGGCTTCCACCTCCTGCAGCTGCACGAGGGCCTCACCTGGCACCAGGGTCCTCAGCTGCAGCCCTGGCAAGTCTGCCAGAGAGGGGGCGCCGCCCTCCCAGCACGCAGGGGTTAGCCAGGGAAGGGCATGCACTGGCCATCGCCCCCCACAACGCACACGAGTGACCCTTCACCCGGGGGTGCAGCTGCAGGTCCTGTCTGGGTGGTCCTGAGCCCCCAGCCCGGCCATCCCTCGGCCGCACAGGTGTCAGAGCCCTTCCTCTGCATGGTCCCCAGTGCCACCCTGTTCCCACGGCACAGGGCACTGCCTGTGGCTGGCCCTGGGGGCTGCTGCTGCCTCTGCACATCCCTGGGCCTGCCTGGTGCCCCCTTGGAGCTGCCTGAGGCCAACAGAGCAGGGCGAGGCCCGTGTGCTGTCCAGGGGCGTCCTGACCAACGTGAAAGATGCCAGTGCGGGGCCTCCCGCCTTTGTCTACTTCACACCTGCAGTGTTTGCCAAGTTCAGGTTCCCAGGGATGGGCCCCTTCCCAGAAGGCACGTCTGCACGCAGGGTAGGGCGGGGTCCTAGCAGGACGGGAGCCAGGGCTGACGGGGCTGTGTGCCCCAAGCGGCTGACAAAGAACTTGGTGAGCACAGCCTGCAGGAAAGCGCTGATGAGGGGCCTGACAGGCCGCGAGGCCCAGGGACCCCTCCAATGCCCTGTGTGCCCCAGGGGTGAGGCAGGCATGACTGGAACCTGGCCCGGTGCTGTCCGTCCAGCACACCCTCCTGCCAGCACTGTGCAGCAGGCACTACTGTGGCACTGGAATCACGGTCCAGGGCTGGCGTTGTGGCACAGCTGTGGCACTGGAATCACGGTCCAGGGCTGGCGTTGTGGCACAGCGGGTTAAGCCGCCACTGTGACGCTGGCTTCCCACAGGAGCACCGGCTCAAGTTCTTGCAGCTCCGCGTCCGGTCCAGCTGCTAATGTGGCCCAGTGCTTGGCCCCGGCACCCGTGTGGAGGCCACGACGGAGTTCCAGGCTCCTGTCTTCAGCCTGGGCCAACTTGGCTACTGTGGCCATTTGAGGAACGAATCTGCAACTAGAAGACTCTGTCTCTGCCCCTCTGTAACTCTGCCATTCAAATAAATAAAATACAATCTTTGTCTTTTGTCCTTTTCCTTTTTCGTAGATAGCACTGGCTTTTACTTAAAGCTGGTGACGCTTCTTACATTAAATTTTTACACATTTAGTTGCAAGGCAGAGTGAGAGAGAGAGAGGAGAGGGGGAGGGGGAGGGGGAGGGGGAGAGAGAGAGAGAGAGGGAGAGAGGGAGAGAGGGGGAGAGGGGGAGGGGGGGGAGAGAGAGAGAGAGAGAGAGAGGTCTTCCATCTGCTAGTTCACCGCTCACCCCCCCACCCCCCTTGGCTGCAACGGCCAGAGCCGGGCCAGGCTGAAGCCAGGAGCCAGGAGCTCCACCCTTGGTCTTCCTTGTGGGTGCAGGGGCCCAGGTACATCAGCAGGAAGATGGGTCGGGAGGCAGAGCAGCTGGGACTGGAGCTGGTGCTCTGATACAGGACGCCAGTCTCGCAGGCAGCAGCCTCACCCACGTGCCACAACATGGTGCCAAGGCTTGGAGAACGAAGTGGAAGGGAGCAGGGACCCTGTGTGACCATCTTGTCTCCGGCTTACACAAAGAACCCTGATGTACACACCCGTGCCCGTGGGCGGCAGTGAAAGAACCCTGATGTACACACCCGTGCCCGTGGACAGCAGTGAGCAGGGACTGCGGGGTGTGTTTTCAACTGCCACTTTTAATGACAGCGACGCATTCACTTGTAAAATCTGAGAGCAATTTTCTGAGCTAACTTTATGCTACAACCGGAAGACATATTTGTAGGCTAAACAGGCTCAGAGTTTATTCCTGTAACAGACAGGAAAAATGACCAAGTACGTCTGTGTCCGAATCTTCTACTGGGCCCCATGGCCCAGACATTTGTGTGTTTTAGAGCCAAGTCCTCCGGGACAGACGGCCTGGGACCTGCTCCCCCGGCCACGCCGACCCCTGCACCCCCAGTTGGGGAAGCCCTACTTCTAGCCACGTGGCTTCAAGCGCGGGGCTCGGCGTCACACTCACCGCGGCAGTCGGCGTAGTCGTGGTGCCCGGGCGGGTAGTGGCTGCACAGCCGGCGCAGCAGCAGGCGCAGGTGCACCAGGCGCTGGCTGGGCTTCAGCAGGAACGCGCTGAGCGGCAGGTAGCAGACCTTCTGCAGCTCGAACTCTCTGCACACGGCCTCCAGCCTCCGACAGCGCCGGGTGGCCTGCTCCAGCGCGGCCAGGACTTCATCGTGTCTCTGGAAGCAGCTGGTGAACTCCTGTGGGTTTGGGTGACACGTGGGACAGAGGGTCCGAGAACAGGAGTCCCAGTGTGGATTTCATGCCCCATCTGCCAGTCCTGGCAGGGACAACAGGGACGATGGCTGGGCCATGTGAGGTGGAGGCGTCCTGTCCCACCGGGCTGCACCCGACCTGCGTCTCCTTCCAGCCGGGGTGGTGGCAGCCCACCTAGCACTGGCCATCGGTACGTTCACCACGCACACATCTGTTGCCTCACTTGTGAGCAGACGGAGCTGTGAGGCCACCGCCCTCCCCGGGACACAGCGAGGGAGTGCAGGGCAGGGGTTGACAGGCCACGTGGAGCCCGGCCAGGGCTCAGGGCTCACTCCAGAAACTTCACCAGTCACAGAGGCGGTGCGACCATGCCCCCTCTATCACACGTCGGGTGTGGGGAGCAACTCGGACTAGACTGTTACTGGAATTAAGACTTATTCTATGCATCTGCTCTCCCACAATATGTCGCTGAGAAGGGAGTAACAACTTCTACGCAGCTGCCTCTCGCCAACTTGAGTGATGACCTGCAGGAGCTGATCCTGCTCCTGATTGGAGGAGAGCAGCGTACTTGGCATGTGGGTAGCAGAGTTGGGATTGGTGGAAGAGGACTATAAAGGAGGAGAGAGACAACATGCACCAGGAACACCTGAGGAACATCTGAGCAGCCCCCGAGAGAGCCGGCCGGCGGTGTGCCGCTCCCCCGTGGAAGTGGGGAAGGTGGCAGGGGGAACCGCCCTTCCACGGAGGTGGAAGGGACGGTAGCCAACCCGGGAAGAACCAGCAGCAAACCCGGGGAGGGCCGAGCAGACAAAAGAACAGCGCAGGGTCCTGTGTCGTTCCTCCACGAAGACAGGGAGCACACACGTGTGAGGTCTGAGTGCTGCGCACACTTGGCACACTAAGCAGGTCCCCACCTTCTAGGTGATATGAAATCAATTTGATTTAAGGCGATGCCCTGTGTGATACAAGACAGAGAAAACCCACTTCTGTGCGTTTCTCTTTGAAATGAGCACTGGTGGTTTTGGAAGAGGTAGAACTTTCTGTCTGACCTGGCTCAGAAATGAAACAAACAGTACAGGGCGGCAGTGGTGGTGCTCCCCAGTGGGGCAGCAGGCTGGGTGGAGGTGGCACACAAGGCTGGAGCAGCTGGCCAGGAGGGCCAGGACACCGTGCCCTGGGCTGTGCAGCATGAGGGGCAGGCAAGACCAAGACCCTGAATGGCGGACGCCTCGCCTGCACTGTGCAGTGGACTGCAGGGGCGCGAGGGAGGCACATCCCGCGGAAGAGCGTGGACCCCACAAGGGAGTGACCCAGCAGCCCCGTCCCCTCACAGCTGCCGCGGGAGCCTGTCCCGAGGCGAGGGCTGCGCCAGGGCCACCCTGCTCTGAGGAACTGAGGGGAACCCGAGGGTGGCCGTCTCAGGAACCCTTTCTGGGGTGACCCTGTGGTGGGCAGCGGTTCTGAGGAGAACTCAGTCCCGAGGGTACTCTGTTCTGGGGGGTACTCTGTTCTGGGGAGTACTCTGCTCTGAGGGGAACTTGTTCTGGGGGTACTGTGTTCTGGGGGGTACTCTGTTCTGAGGTTACTCTGTTCTGGGGGGTAGTCTGTTCTGGGGAGTACTCTGTTCTGAGGGGAACTTGTTCTTGGGGTACTGTGTTCTGAGGGGTACTGTGTTCTGGGAGTACTCTGTTCTGAGGGTACTCTGTTCTGGGGGGTAGTCTGTTCTGAGGGGTACTCTGTTTTGAGAGTACTCTTTTCTGGGGGGTACTCTGTTCTGAGGGGTACTGTGTTCTGGGGGAACTTGTTCTGGGGTACTCTGTTCTGGGAGTACTCTGTTCTGAGGGTATTCTGTTCTGGGGGGTACTCTGTTCTGAGGGTACTGTGTTCTTGGAGTACTCTGTTCTGGGGTACTCTGTTCTGAGAGTACTCTGTTCTGGGGGTACTCTGCTCTGAGGGTACTCTGTTCTGGGGTAAGCTGAGCTGGGGGTACTCTGTTAGAGGGTACTCTGTTCTGAGGGGTACTGTGTTCTGAGGGTACTGTGTTCTGGGAGTACTCTGTTCTGGGGTAAGCTGAGCTGGGGGGTACTCTGTTCTGAGGGGTACTGTGTTCTGAGGGTACTGTGTTCTCGGAGTACTCTGTTCTGGGGTAAGCTGAGCTGGGGGGTACTCTGTTAGAGGGTACTGTGTTCTGAGGGTACTGTGTTCTGGGAGTACTCTGTTCTGGGGCAAGCTGAGCTGGGGGTACTCTGTTAGAGGTACTCTGATCTGAGGGAGGCCTGTTGGAGGAGTCTGGGGGAGCCTGAGGGGAAACTGGGGGAGTCCTTCTGCGGGCTCTGTGGAGTCTGTGGGAGAGTCTGTGGGGTCTGAGGACTCCGGCTGGGGGAGTCTGGGGGAATGGAGGTTCTGGGGGGTCCGTGGGGAGTCTGGTTGAGTCTGGGGTCTCTGGGGTCCGGGGAGTCGGGGGATCTGGGGGAGTCCGAGTGGGGAGGCTGTCAGCCGAGCACTGCCCAGGGCAAGCTGCTCCCTGACGCTGGTGGGCAGTGGCAGGGCGTTCTGCGACCCTGCTAGAACGCTGTGGTGAGGGCAGCGGAGCCTGCTGTGGGCCCTATTCCGGGAGTGAACATGGCCGGGCTGCCACCACGCAGACCTGTCCTACCTTTAGCTGACGCATGTTCCTGAGCAAGATGTCCCCTATGCGCTGGTGGCCGCCTTTCCCGTGAGCACTGGAGGGTCCTTCCCTGGGGAAGAACAGCGGCTGACAACCTCCCCGAGGCTATGGCGAGCACCAGGTCACCAGGGCGTGACCTGCTCTGCTGGCCACACGGGGACAAGACGCTCTGGGGTGGATGACCCCATGTCATGGCCTTCACTTCAACAAAACAACTATTGCATGTCTGGCCATTCTCTAAAAAGCTGGTAACCAGGGCCGGCACTGTGGCATACCAGGTAAAGCCGCTGCCTGTGGCCCCGGCATCCCACATGGGTGCCAATTAGAGTCCTGGCTGCTCCACTCCAGCTCTCTGCTGTGGCCTGGGAAAGCAGTAGAAGATGGCTCAAGTCCTTGGGCCCTGCACCCGCGTGGGAGACCTGGAAGAAGCTCCTGGCTTCAGATTAGCCAGGCTCCAGCTACTGCGGCCATCTGGGGAGTGAGCAGGGATGGAAGACCTCCCTCTCTGGCTCTCTGTAACTAACTCTGCCTTTCAAATAAATAAATCTTTTTTAAGATTTATTTATTTATTTATTTTTTATTTTTATTTTTTTGATAGGCAGAGTGGACAGTGAGAGACAGAGAGACAGAGAGAAAGGTCTTCCTTTGCCGTTGGTTCACCCTCCAACGGCCACCGCAGCCGGCGTGCTGCGGCCAGCGCACCGCGCTGATCCAATGGCAGGAGCCAGGAGCCAGGTGCTTTTCCTGGTCTCCCATGGGGTGCAGGGCCCAAGCACCTGGGCCATCCTCCACTGCACTCCCTGGCCACAGCAGAGAGCTGGCCTGGAAGAGGGGCAACCGGGACAGAATCCGGCGCCCCAACTGGGACTAGAACCTGGTGTGCCGGCGCCGCTAGGCGGAGGATTAGCCTAGTGAGCCGCGGCGCCGGCCGAATAAATAAATCTTTAAAAGAACATGGAGACCACGGGGCAGGCGTCTGGCACAGCCGTTAGGACACTGCTGGGGAAGCCAGCATCCTCTCTCAGAGCACCTGGGACTGCGCCTCCCTTGGCTGTGGTCCAGTCTCCTGCTTCTGCACCCGTGAGGGCAGCAGGCGACGGCCCAAGTACTCGGGTCCCTGCCACTCCCACTGGGGACCCAGATGGGCTCCTGGCTTCAGCTGTGGCCTGGCCCAGCCCTGGCTGTCGCAGGCCATTTTGGGGAATGAACCATTGGATAGAAGATGCGTGTCTGCCTCTCTGCCTTTCAGGTAAATTTTAAAACAAGTTTTAGACAGAACAGGGTTCGCCTGCTTTTAACCTGCTCCTCTCATTTTCCCTCCTGGAACAGGAATAAAGGTGAATATAGGTTACTGCTACATTTACAGCTCTCCCTACGGGATTTAAAAATAGACTTCAGCGAATCCCGGCGCTTGTGCACTCCCTTCTGAGCCTGGAGGTCGGGCGCAGGGTACGGTGGTGTTACCAGAGCGCCAGCCGCTGCTCCACCTCTCGCAGGAAGGCCCTGTGGAACTCGTAGACCGGGTCGATGCTGGAGAAGAGCAGGGCCTTCAGGAATGCAGGCATGGCGTCCTCCTTGGCCAGGGCACTGCGGAACCACTGTGGGAGAAGACCAGAGACCACGCCCCCAGGGCCTGTGACAGGGCACCGGGCAGCCACCCTCAGGCCACCGCCTACCAGGATGGCTCAGTCAGCACCCTCGATTCTGAAATACAGTAAAATATTTCAATGTTGGAAGTGTCCCATGGACACAGTCTCAGCTTTACAGCCTCACAGAAACTGGGAACTCAGTGAGAGTCCGTGGAAAACGCATATTATGGAAAAACTGTGCATGGTTTCCAAAAACATCTTGCACCAAAATAAACTTATCCCTTAACTCCCCTTTGCACCAAGTTTTTGAAACGCCCTTAGGTATAGAAAAGACGCGCATCGGAGGCCCCATGCCCGCAGGGAGACCGTCCTCAGGACAGAGCCGTGCCCGCAGTTCCTACCACAGTGAGGACCTCCAGATCCTTCAGGTAGGTGCGCTCGGTGGCAAGGAGCTCCTTCACCATGAAATAGGCCTTGTCTTCCGGCAGGCGCTGGAAGAAGCAGAGGCGGCTGTGAGCCCGTGGCTGTGGACAGGGGGTGCCGAGGTTTGCACTGCCTTTTTTTTTAAGATTTATTTATTTGAGAGGCAGAGTTACAGAGAGAGGGAGGGAGAGACAGAGACAGAGACAGAGACAGAGACAGAGAGGTCTTTCATCCACTGGTTCACTCCCCAGATGGCCACAACGGCTGGAGCTAAGCCAATCTGGAGCCAGGAGCCAAGAGATTGCTCCAGGTCCCCCACCAGCGTGCAGGGGCCCAAGCACTTGGGCCATCTTCTACTGCTGTCCCAGCCCATTAGCAGGGAGCTGGATCAGAAGAGCAGCAGCTGGGACATGAATTGGTGCCCATATGGGATGCTGGCACTGCAGGCTGAGGCCTAGCCCACTACACCACGGCACCGGCCCCTAGTACTGCTTTTTTTTTTTTTTTTTTTGAAAGATTTATTTATTTATTTGAAAGTCAGAGTTACAGAGAGAGAGAGAGAAGGAGAGGCAGAGAGAAAGAGAGGTCTTCCATCTGCTGGTTCACTCCAGTTGGCTGCAACAGCCAGTGCTGCAGCCATCCAAAGCCAGGAGCTTCTTCCGTGTCTCCCACGCGGGTGCAGGGGCCCAAGCACCCAGGCCATCTTGTACTACTTTCCCAGGTCATAGCAGAGAGCTGGATTGGAAGTGGAGCAGCCAGGACTCAAACCAGCATCCATATGGGATGCCGGCACTGCAGGTGCCACAGCGCCAGCCCCTAGGGTTTTCATCCCTAACTCCTGAAGGCATTTACTTTTGAGTAAGAACTGCCACAGTGAAGCCCGTGAGTTCCTCCCTCACATCTCTACTTCATGCTCTCATTTTGGAGAAAAGAACTATTGCCCAAATATCACTGGTCATGGGATGAAATCACCATTATGATTTCTCCCGCGGGTGATGCAACCAGCGGAGACAAGAGCTGAGTGTGCAACTGGACGCTGACTCAGGAGGGCGTGAAGATGACCCAACAGCCGACGTGAACGTGGGTCAGGCACTAGGGGCTGCTCCACCGCCTGGGTGTGTGGACTCTGCCCGCCCCCAGTGCAGCAATGGGCTCCTGAGGCTCCCCTGCCTCTGCCCCAGGCGCAGCACTCCTGGCCGTGGAGGTGCTGTGCCCTGTGCCACTCACCCGCCCCTCCAGCAGGTGCACATACCCACGGCACCTCTGACCCAGCACCTGGAGTAAGTGCATAGGCACGGGTCCCTGCCCCCAGGAGCTGGTGTCTTCCCATGTGGCACAGGCTCGGCTGCAGCTGGGGACAAGGCCAAGGCAGGGAAGCCTAAGGCAGAGCAGGGCAGGTTTGGAGGCCTGCAAGCTGGGGGCAGAGTGGGCCAGCAAACAGGTCAGAGGTCAACGGGCTGGAGCAGCAGTGGGGTGGTGATGGTGGAAAAGGGTGAGCCAGGTGACAGGGGGAAGGCAGGCCACGCTGACCTTCTGGGCCTACCCCACGGTGCCGCACTGCCCCGAGACCCCTGTAGCAGTCTGGTGGCCGGCGCTGGCTAGGGTGAGTGGGAGGGCGCGCGCTGCAGAGTCCTGGTGTGGCTGTGACGTGTGGGGAGCAGGGAGGACCGGCCACAGGGTGGGGCTCAGGAGGAGGTCCTGGGTGGCTGTGACATGTGGGGTGCAGGGAGGACCGGCCACAGGGTGGGGCTCAGGAGGAAGGGCAGGAGCCAGGCTGCCACCATGAGTCCGAGGGCTCCTGAGATGGACGACAACCGTGTGGGTTAGTTCAGGACAGCATGTGGGTGAACAGTGACAGCAGTGCACTCACAGGGTGCCCTGTACAGCTGGCCTGATGCCCATGCCTCCCTGGCCTCCTCCCAGGGGTCCCAGTCCTGTCCCCAGAGTCCCGCCTTCTTCCCAGTGGTGCAGCCCCACACTTTCCCATTTCTTCTTTTTGGGCTTCATGCAACTAAAACTCACTTTTCCAAATTCAGAATCAGTATCTCTTTAAAAAGTCTTATCTCGGGGCTGGCACCGTGGCTCACTTGGTTAATCCTCTGCCTGTGGCGCCAGCATCCCATATGGGCGCCGGTTCTAGTCCCGGTTGCTCCTCTTCCAGTCCAGCTCTCTGCTGTGGCCTGGGAAAGCAGTGGAGGATGGCCCAAGTGCTTGGGCCCTGCACCTGCATGGGAGACCGGGAAGAGGCTCCTGGCTCCTGGCTCCTGGCTCCGGATTGGAGCAGCTCTAGCTATTGCGGCCATTTGGGGAGTGAACCAGCGTAAGGAAGATCTTTCTCTCTGTCTCTTTCTCTCTCACTGTCTGTAACTCTACCTGTCAAATTAAAAAAAAAAAAAAGTGTCTTATCTCTGGGGCTGGCCACTGGCATCCCATATGGGCATTGGTTCAAGTCCTGGCTGCTCCACTTTGATCCAGCTCTCTGCTATGGTCTGGGAAAGCAGTGGAAAACAGCCCAAGTGCTTGGGCCCTTGTACCCATGTGGGAGACCCAGAAGAAGTTCCTGGCTCTTGGCTTTGGATCAGCCCAGCTCTGGCCATTGCGGCCATCTGGGGAGTGAACCAGCAGATGGAAGACTCCCCACCCCCAATCTGCCTCCCTGTAACTTTCAAAATAAATAAATCTTAAAAAAATTTTTAAGATGTCTTATCTCTATGTGAGCATGGCCTGTGCACAGGGTCTGGGCAGCACCAGCCACACCCCCGGAGGCCAGGGCTCTGGGCACTCATGCCCCAGAGGCAGCCCTGGGTCTGAGGAGTCCCGGTCAGGAGATGGTGTGTGGGGCCCAGATGCACAGAAACAGTATCCCACGGAGTCCCAGCTGGCTCCTTCAATATACTCTCACCACACAACCACTGCTAGAGAGCATTCTCTCCTAGTGGGGGGCTGGCACTGCGAGGCCAGCATCCAATATGGGTGCTGGTCCCGTTCCCAGCTACACCACTTCTGACCCAGATCCCTGCTGTGTCCTGGGAAACAACAGAAGATGGCCCAAATCCTTGGCCCTTGCAACCACGTGGGAGACATGGAGGAAGCTCCTGCAACTTGGCTTCGGCCTGGCCGAGCCCTGACTGTTGTGGCCGTCTGGGGAGTGAACCAGCAGATGGAAGATCTCTCTCTCTAACTCTTTCAAACAAATAAACAAATCTTAAAAAAAAAAAAAAAGAAAAGAAAGAAATAGAAAAGACCACCAGTGGTGGCAAACGAACACAAGGGAGGGGGCCTGGGGTGGAGCCCTGTCCCTCCAGACTCACGCAGTGAGCACCAGGTAGGCCAGGTGCTGGCCAGGGAGGGCGCACTCTTGACAGTCCTCAGTCCCCACATGACCCGAGACACTTCTGTCTCCAGGACACTGTTGGTCCTCACCAGCTCTGAGACAGGGCTGGCAGCTGAGTGCTTCTGTGGGCGGGGCTGGGGTTGGGCCACGCCCACCCCCCAGCACTTGAAGAGCACAGAGAGAGAGAGAGAGAGGCGAGCTTCTCTGTGGGCCAGGGGCTCACAGGGTCAGCACAGAGGGGGCTCTGGCGGGACCCAGGGTGGCAGTGATGAGGACAGGGTTGTCCCCGCTACCCTGGGAGCCTGCACGGAGACCTGGATATGCACAGCTGGGTTCTGAGGCGGAGGTGCTCCTGGGGAAAGGGGGCAGAAGCCACAGCAGAGGCCAGGGTCCCAGCAGGAGGGGGCTGGGGCCCAAGGATGCCACGGCAACCTCCACCTGCAGTGGACCGCTGCGGTCCACAGGGGCTGTCTCCCAGCCAGGCCACACTGTCAGCCTGGGTATCCTTGGGAGTGACAAGTTGTCACCCTACAGAGCCACTGAAACAATCAACTACTTGTAAGACAGAAAGTGACACATTTTAGTTCTAAAAATAGATTTCTTCTAAGCCATTTTTGCTTTGATTCTAAAGAAACAGTGAGCCCAGGGCCAGCACTGTGGTACAGGTACAGCAGGTGAGTCTGCTGCCTGCGATACGGGCGTCCCATACGAGCTCGGCTGGGCTGCTCACACACCAGCTCCCTGCTAATACATCCTGAGAAGGCAACGGAAGATGGCCCAGGCACGTGGGCCCCTGCCACCACAATGGGACCTGGGTGGGGCTCCAGGCTCCTGGCTTCAAGCTGGCCCAGCCCCAGCCACTGTGGCCACTTGAGGATTCAATCGGCAGATGGAAGCTCTCTATCCCATCTCTCCTCTTTCTGCAACTCAGTCTTTCGAAGAAATTGAACGTTAAAAAAATTTTAAAAAAGAAACAAAGCTAAACACACCACACTGTTACAAGTTTCCAAAATAAAGGCTATTTGCATAACTGTCTTGCTGCCCAGCGCCTCCGCAGGCCCAGCCTCCCCGAGCACCTGGCCTTGGCGCTGCTGGGCTGCAGGTGGGCTCAGGGGACCCGGGGCCTCCCACACAGGCAGAGGTGAATCAGTGCAGAGGCACCACCCCTGCTGAGGCCTCTGAGAGACCTCGGGGGCCCTGCCATCTGCACACACGGCCTGGACAGAATGTGCTTTCACCTGCTTGGGCCCCCAACACCCTTCTCCCTTCTGCTGGCTGCACAGGGACCCCCTCCCCCTCCCCTCTGTGGTCCCCCAGGGCCAGCACACCCGCTCCCGCCTCACACCTCAAACACTACAGACCCTGAGTCCTTGTGCACACATGCCCACCTCCCCCATGACGTGACAGCCTGCAGGCTGGCCCCGTGTCTGCTGGGCGGCTCTCTACCTCACTCCTGCTGGTCCCATCAACTGCCTCAACTCCCACCACAAACCCAGGCCCATGCCACCCACGCCCTCCCCTGTGTCTCCAACACCGGGCCCAGCCTCCCACCAGCAAACAGCCCCTAGCACCTGATTCTGTCCCAGTACCTGCTTGTGCAGAGTGGATGCTGGGCCACGCAGGGAGGGAAGAGCAGGGGAAGCTGCTCCCCCAGGGCATGGCTAGGGCCCCACCCCCGCATGCAGGGCCCAGGACCAGGGACACTGCTCTCTGCACAAAGGAACCCCAGGGGGAGGGGGAGGCTCTCGGAAGATTCTGCAGGGAGCACCCCAGATTCTCCTGTCTACCCAGGAGGCTTCCGGGGCAGCAGTGGCCCAAGAGCCCCTGGCCGGGCCTGCCCTGCTCCCCAGCCAGTGCTGCCCAGGGAGGAGGAGGTACCGGCAGAGTGCAGCACACGCTAGCAGCAGCCCCCACGGCGGGGCGAGGGCCCACCTTGTGCCTCGGCTCATCCTCGAAGTCCATTCTAGCTCCGGCGTCGCTAAGGACAGGGCTCAGGAGGGGGGACACGCTGTGCTCAGCGGGGCCCAGAGTCACCTCGAGCGTGGGGCTCAGGCTCAGCTGGCTCTTCCGGCTGGAGGGAGACGGCTGAGGGCTGTCCGCTGCAAGGCCTGGAAGTGAACGGGTGAGGCGGGTAGATGAGAAAGCCACGTCCCTCCAGCCTTCCAGGGCACCTGCCCCTCGCAGCTTCGCTGGGACCAGCCTCAGTCTGCGCCCCGCCCCAGCCTGCACACCTGCCCCAGACGTCACTGTCAGACCAGCGCCCGCTCACCTGAGCTCATCCGTGATCACACAGTGCTCAGTTCATGACCCTGCTTTCTAGTTCCTTGGGTTTTTCGTGAATGAGGATTTTATTTTGGTTTTCTAGAATGATGCCATGGTAAGTACTAAATACTCAAGTTTTTCCTTCTTTGCTTTTGAATAGAGAAGTCCCAGATCTGCAGTTAAGTCCAAGGCAGCCAGCTGTGATCACACAACAGTGAAGGAATGTCCTTGTTTTCAGTCCCAGAGGTCAACTAACCATTAAGTGCCACATTTTAGGTATCTTGATGGCAGTTTCAGTGGCGAAGTTTAACTGTGGCTTAAAAACTCCTCAACTTGGATGCACCCACTGTTTTAACCCCGAGACCACTGTCACCTCTGGCTCTGCCCAGTCGGCCTCAGAGTGCTGGGACACAGTGGAATATGCCACACCTTCCTCCCTGGAACCCATCTGCATGCAGCAGGGTTCTCTTGCACCAAAACTTGGTTTATTTAACCCAAAACACATCAGGGCAGGCAGATTCACGGAGGGCAGCTTCCGAGAGCTCCTTAGAGAACAAACGGTGCCACAGCTACTGGTTCACAGGGCCCAGTCCAGCTGCAAGCCAGGGGCAGGAAGGAGTCCTGATTTCAACACTGCCAAATCCCGGTGCTTGGAGAGGCTCCCTGGGAGGGAAGAGGTCAGCGCTCAGCATGTCTCCTGGAAGACATGGGAGTCGCAGGTGCCGAGACCTACCCAGCATCACCATGGGCGTCACGAGCAACCTGCTTATCGCAATATGCCTCTATTACATGTAAAGTATGGACAGTGACTTTAAAATCACACAAGACCCCTGCTTCTCCCTCCTCTCCAGCACACAGCGGCCGTGACTGCTCCGGGCCAGCTGAGGTGGGGGGCTCCTGCGAGAGGGACGTGTTGGAAGACGTGCCACACGGGGCTTGTACTCTGAAATCCTGTCCTTGTCACATAAAGAACATTTAGAGAACAGGCCACAGCTACCGAGGACGTATCCTCAGCTGTGTGGTGAGGGCGAGCTGCAGCTCACTCCGCACCTGTGTCCTCCCGTGCACGCACAGGGCCACGGCACCTCATGGTCTACACAGACCTTGCCAGAGCCCTGCCCGCATCTCCAACAGGCAGGAGGTAAAATGTGAGGGAAGCTGCCCCAGCCCGTGTGGGGGGTTCTGGGGCCCCCAGGGACCTCCCATTAAACAGCCCCTCCCTCAGCAACTCACAAAGCCAGGAGACCCTCCCTACAAGAGCTGTTCTGGGTTCTGTGGAGGTTGAAACTCACCACTTAGGCACTGTCGTTGTAAATACTTCCCACAAAATAATCAAATCACAATTCAGCGAGTGGACTATAAAGTACCAAAATTCACTGTAAACATTTCATCTCATTAAATCTGTTCTAGCAAACCTTGTAATCATACCTAGTATAAATTACAGAGCAGAGGCAGCAGGCACTTGGCCTAGCTGTGAAGACTCCCATGTTCCACACTGGAGAGCCTGGGTTTGATCCCAGGCCCCGCTCCTGACTCCGGCTTCCTGCTAATGCAGACCCTGGGAGGCAACAGGTGAGGACTCAGGTGGGAGATCCAAACCGAGTTCCCTGGTTCCTGGCTTTGGCCTGGCTCAGTCCTGGCTGTTGGAGGTATTCGGAGAATGAACCAGCAGAGGGGAGACCTCTCTGTTTCTCAAATAAAATTATGCAAACACAGATCCTACATGCTAAGTGCATAAACCTGTAGGGAGAAGTTCTTTCAACCAAGTGGCAGTAAGTATGTCACTGTTGCAATCAGGAGGCCATGGGGCAGGTCCACAGCCCGCAGTCCAAGCAGGGAGGCAGCTGGGGTGGGGGCTGTGCCTGGGAAATGCAGGCTCAGTGCTCCTCCGCCTTATGACATCCTTTTGATGTGGACAATGCACATGGAACACGTGGCTAAAAGGCACATACCTGCATAATTCTAAACATGCCAAGAACCAAGCTTTAGGAGCCCCAGCTGACGTCACGGTCCAAGTCCAAGGTCCTCTACTCATGCTGGGCAGAAGGAGCCGGGGCTGCTGAGCCACAAGTGGTCCCTCTGTGAGGGTCACTCACCTCCCACTCTGTCTTCCATCACCAAGATCATGTCCCTACTTGCTGACAGGTGAGTCTTCAATTTCCAGGACTATGATTTGAACTTGAGACGGTGGCCATGCTCACCGAGCAGTGGGCTTCCCTGCACAGACTGCCCCGAGAGGATGGCCTCAGAGATCAGAGATGCCAGCACCAAGTCTCATTCTGCCCACCAGCGTGAACCTGAGACGGGCGGCCCTCCGGGGGTGCTCTTCGGTCCTGAAACGTTCTCAGTGGTCCTCCCACGATTTCTCAAAGACCAGGGTGGTGCGCTCCGGCTTACCTTCGGACACTTTTTGTTCATCTTACTGGAGCGTGAAAGACGTTAAGAGACAAACGTGATGTTTGGGGAAGTTAACTTACTTTTATTTCATACCTTTAAATTCTTTTAAAAGTCTATAATCAATAATCCTTGAAAACATTTGCCTGGTCGGTTAAGCTTCTGCTTGTGATGCCAGGATCTACTACTGGAGTGCTAGTTTTCAAGTCCTGGCTGCTCCACTTCCAATCCAGCTTCCGCTAATGTGCCCAGGAAGGTAGCAGGTGTTGGCCCAAGTCCTTGGGTCCATGCGTGGGAGGCCTGGATGGAGTTCTGGCCCTCAGCTTCAGCTTGTTGCACATCTGGCTGTGGTGGCCATCTGGGGAGTGACCCAGCAGGTGGAAGATCTCTCCCCGCTCCCTCGACCCTGTCCCCTGTCCCCCACCCCCCCATGCTCTGCCTTTCAAATAAATGCATCTTTAAACATTTTTGCCTAATGGTGGAAGAAGAATCAGCCTCTGGCAAAGTCAGGGTGAGGCTAAGGCCGACCTGCGGAGGAGAGGCAAGAAACAAGTTCTGGCTGCACTGATGAACTATTCAGCCCAGGAGAGAAGGAAAAGTCAGACTGTCCACAGCCAGGCCAGGAGTCGGCAGAGAACGGCATCCACCTTCACGAGTGAAACTGGACGCCACAAACAACTTTTATGCATTTGCCTCCACAACCAGAGTGGAGGAGCAGGCGTCTGGCTCCGAGGCTCCCACATGGAAGCACTTGGGTCCTCTCTGTGGCTCCGGCTCCTGACTCCTCTGCTTCTTGTTGATGCCCTGGGAAGCTACGGTGATGGCCCAGGTTCTTGGGTCCCTGCACCCATCTGGGAGACCTGGATGGAGTTCTTGGCTCCTGGCGTCAGCCTGGCCCTGCCTCAGCTATTGTGGACATTTGAGGTGTGAACCAGTGGATGAGAGCTCTGTCTCAAAAAAAAAAAAAAAAAAAAAAAAAAAAAAAAAAAAAAGTGGGAGGTAGAAAAACGGTATCAGTGCATTTCTTGCTGCGTGTTTGTGTGAAGCTCACCTCACTGGGAAGAACCAGAGGCAAGAGTGACAACGTGGCACCAAGTCCTCTGTCCTTAGTTGTGAGCTGGTGCCCCACAGGCAGCCTCCAAAGCTGGCTGCCACCAGAGCTCCGACATGCACAGCGCTCCTAACGGAGCACTGTTTTTGCCTTTGGTTCTGAATAGCTAAGACTTTTTCTCATTTCAAACAAGGGCATACTAGCCTAGGCACAAAGTGATGCCTCAGGCCACGTGTCCAGACTGGCCATCTGCCAGGTGCCCAGCTCCGCTATTCTACTGAAAACTGATGCATTTTCTCTAAGATTCTGAGAAGCACCTATGACTTAGGAACCTTCTTACTGGGGCAACAGAGGCCATGTCCCCAAAACAAACTATTCAAATGAACTGCAAGGCTGCTGGGTGCTGGGCCTAAGGCAGCCACAGATGTGGGCAGAGAAATGCTTTGAGCTTCCTGGGGTCAAGACTGCGCTGCTCAAGTCAACATGTCCCTCTGTGCAGTGAGTGCCGGGCACTGGGAGGAGGGCGTGAGGCTCGTGTGCCCACCGGGCTCAGGAGAACCTGCAGCTCTTCCTGGAGGTGCCATTGCCACAGCCCTCTGTGCCGTGGGGCGGGCCAGGTGGGCTCGCTGCTAGCTGGCTCCCACGCTGGTCACTGGTGCTGACCACTCTGCCTACTGGGTGCCAGGAGCCTAAAATCCCCAGTTGGTCACCCACTGCCCTCCCAGAGCTGATGGCATCAGCACCCAGACAGGAGTGAGAGGAGCAGTGTCCACTCGCACCCCAGCAGGGGGTCTCACTGGAGAGTGGTGGACAGCCCCACCCAGGCAGCAGGAAACCTGTTTTTGTCAAGCGGGAAGTTAAAGTTTCGAGCTGGAGTAAGGATCAGTCCAGAATCTGAGTGACCACCACATTCCAGGTCAGGAGGTCAGGGCCTTCTGTTCGTGTGCCCTCGTGGGTGCCCTGGCCACGCCTTCCTCCTGTTCAGAATCAAGAAGCCAGCAGGGCTGCTGGGGCCCCATCTACACTCAGCACTGTGCTCAAGATGGGCGAGGCCACACCACGCCCCTATGTCTGCCACCGCCACGCTGGCCACACAGACCACGGCTGGCGAGGGCAGAAAGCACTGGAACACAGCTGGGACTGCCTCCAGCGTCTGAAACCAGACACGCGTCACGGTGCCTGCTTGCTGCCAGGAGCCAGGGAGTGGAGACGCAGGAGACAGGAGCTCTTCCAGGGATGAACTGAACTTGCAAATGCGTAAGCAGAGGCAACAAAAGCTAAAAGGCTTCTTTTAAAATTGATAGTAAATATTTCCTTATTTTATTGAATAAACAATTAAAAATACTAAATTAGTACATATTTGCAAATTTATAAATGGCTATTTCAACGGAAAGCGATTGTAAGTACCACAAACCAGACAACAAGAGTGCCTCTTTAGAGAATCAACACATTCAAATGCATAGGAAGTCCCGCCCACTCTCCTTCCTGTCCCAGTGACTGCTAACACCCACGTACCAGATGGCCCCTCGGCACGGCTGCCAGTGCCCTCTGTACCCCAGGCGCTGCATCGCAGACTGACAGAAGCCAAGGACTTGAGAACAAATACGAGCATGCTCAGAGGACATGGACCTTCCTGTCTGTGATGGATTTTCCTCCTGACGTTCCAGGGCCTTGGGGAACACGTGAGCCTTGAAGACACACGGTATGGACTGGCACGTGACAGCTAGGGACACAGGTGCTTTGTGTGTCACCTGTGACAGTGACCACAGCATGTGTGCTGTGTCATCACTGCTCCTCAGGGCTGCGGGACACCAGGGCAACTTGTATTTAAAAAGTCTATTTATGTATTTGAAAGGCAGAGTTATAGAGAGACGGAGGGAGAGACAGAGAGAGGGAGAGAGCTCTTCCATTCGCTGGTCCGATCCCTAAACGGTCACAGTGGCTGGGGTTGGGCCAGGCTGAAGCCAGGAGCCTGGAACTCTGTACAGGTCTCTCACATGGTGCAGGGGCCCCACACACTCAGGCCATCCTCTGCTGCCCAGGGCATCAGCAGGGAGCCAGATGGGAAGTGGAACAGATGGGACTTGAACCGGTGCCCACACGAGATGCTGTGTGGCAGGTGGCAGCTTAAACCACTGCACACAGTGCTGGCCTGAGAGCTTTCCTTAACCACACAGAGACACCTGTAACCCAAAGCTATGGAAAACGACTCGGCTACCATGGCGGAATGACAACAAGACAGGCTTACGGCTTTTCCATGCCTGGCCCTCGATGATCAGTGCCGACGGGAGCAGGCACGCCTAATCCAGTTCCACAAAGAACACACTGTAGTCTGCTCCATCACGCCTTGCTGCTGCAACTGTCCTGGCGCTGGACAGGAAGCCTTCATAAACTCACTGAGAGACACCTGGGCTTCACAGCTGTGCGGACAGCCTGGGCCATGCGCGCCGTCCATGTTAACAGACAAGCCTGGCAACCGTGACGTGCCTCTGGGGAGGCCACTGGGTCAACAGACAGTATACTTTGGGTAGGCGGGCTCTGGACACCAGGGGCCTGGCCCCGTCTGCACGCCCCCGCCTCCCAGCTCTGCTGACCCTGGGTGTGTGGGGCAGCTCCAGGCGGGAGGCTCCGCCCGTGCCAGACCAGGGCTTCAGGTCAGACTCAGTGCTGGGAGCTGCTGGGACCACACGTGGAGAAAGGCGGTTTACGCAGGAGACCCAGTCCCTGGATCCTCTGGGGGGCTTCAAGGGGCAGGGACTCGGGAGAAAGCCGCTGTGGATTTTTAAATGCCTTGTTTCACCGTAAAGAGCAAGCACTCAGCTGTTCAACCTGGTGGTTGGCACCTGTGTGCCATACGGATAGGAGGCGGCAGGTGGTGATGTCCCAAGTGCTGAGAGACCTGGATGGAGTTCCGGGCTCCTGGCTTTGCCTGGCCCAGTCCCACGTGTCGTGAGCATCCGGGGAGTGAACCAGCAGACAGATGCGCTCTCTCAGTCTCAAACAGTAGTAACAATAACACTAAGAACTGTGAACACTCCAGAAAAGAAAAACTGCTCAGAATTTCTCCCGAGTGTGTCAGCACCTCAACCACACATCGCAAGGCTCCCACCTTCAGCAGTGCCGCCCAGAGACCTGAGACAGGCTTGTGGACAGGAGCTGGTGCAAGTGAGGGACCTTAGACTCTGCACAGCTGCTGCCTCTGCCCCAGCTCCTCACCATGGGGCCACGGCAGGTCCACGGCACGGAAGGGGAGGGGCTCCTCTACACGCAGTGGTGAGCAGGCTGCACCGGGGCAGGCTGTGGGAGCAGGTTTTCAGCACGCGATGACAGCGGCATTGCTAACTTGCCTGACAGCTCACGCGTGGGTCGGCTGAGAAGCAGCCCACGTTCCCACACGGACCTGGGCTGAAACCTCAGGGGCCAGCAGCAACCAAACCCCGAAACAAGCGGGAACGGCAGAGGCACAGGCGGCCTGTGGTGCACAACTTTCTAAATAACCAGAAAGCTAAAGTCCATGAACAAAACCCAAAACCAATCAAAACCTATTCTACAGGAGGCCCAGCAGAGGGTGGCTGAGAACAGGATTTACTCTGCATCTGCCCCTGTTCCCACAGCCCCCGCTCCCCCAGGGCTGGCCCAGAGCTGGCTCAGCCCAGACCTGACCTGCTGCCCGACACCGCACAGCGGCACACAGCCGGCAGCCTCCAGTGAAGGAGGGGCTGCCAGGAGCCCTCCTAGGAGAGACATCGGAAATGTCCCCGATGACCCAAACCTCGAGGCACCACACCAGGGTCACCATCGACTCCCCCCCAACACAGACATGGGCAGCTGACAGGGGAGCCATGCGCCTCAGGCGTATGGAGAAGGAGGTATCACTGAGCCACTGCAAGGCCAGCCGCGAGAACGCGAGTTAGGGCGACCAGACTTGGTGACACGCAACGTGCTTAACTACAGCCTCCTGCTGGAACCCAGCCAACACGCGGGGCTCCCCTGGGCAGAGAAGGTGGGCGCTTCCCGAGAGGGCAGAAGCCGCTTTCACAGAGCGTCTGGGAAGAACACGGTGCTGCAGTACCAGCTGGGTCCATCAGGCCAAACCTCGGGGGACAGGGCTGCGGGCAGACGTTTCTCACCTGCCCCTGTGCCACAAGGACCACAGTGTGTGGCAGACATGGAGGGCCACGTCTGCCCATCTGCTCACGTGGCTGCCTGCTGCCTGACTGAGCCAGTCTCAGGTGGCATCATGTGAAAAGGCGGCACCAGCTGCCTGACAGATTCACTGTTCCCAGTCCTCATCACCCTGGGGGGCCTTGGGGACGCATCACTGTGCATTGACAGCTGTGTTGTTGGTCAGAGGGACAGGGCCTCCGGCATGGAGCCTCCAGGGCCGGTGTCCACCAGCCATGTTGCCATGACCTCCCAGGGATGCCCGCCTCTGCTGTCCACTGCAGACAGCAGCTGCTGCCGTCCTGAGCGCGCCGTACATCTGCCTCTCCAAGGCTGCTGTCCACACAGCGACCTCTGGGTCCAGGAGACACTGAGACACTTCCGGGACCACAGCACACGGTGGCTGGGCCTGCACCTGCCTCTCCCAGCCTAGGTGCTGTGGGAGCCATGCAGAGCCCATGGGTGCGGTGGCTGGCAAATCAGGCCAAGTACCTGTGCCAGGTGATGGCAGTGCAGCTCACCCCGCAGCCAGCACTGTGTCCACCAAAGGTCACCATAGAACCAGAACATTCAAAATGGACAGCACCAGAGTTCATGTGAACCAAAGCACGTGCAAAAAACAAAAACAAAAACAAAAACAAAAACACCAAAAGGCCACGCAGACGAGTCCACCGTGGGGATGGTGGGATGCCCGCCTATGCCTGTCCAGCTACACTGGACCACAGCTCTCATTCTCTGACGTTGAGCCAGGGTCTGAGAGACTGAGGACGCCCCCTCCCTGCCTGAATGCACTCGCTGTCCACGTGCAGACCCTCAGCACTGAGCTCTGGCCCTGCAGTGGGGGCGGGGGCGTCCTGCAGGAGCCCCGCGGGGTCAGGATGGGCTTCTCTCTATCTGCTCTGCTGAAGTCAGATTTTTTATATTGTTCTGCAAATCGAAAGAGACTGGTTCTCCAGCTGCGTGTGCAAGGCGGCTGCTGAAGAACAGGCTCATGTCCAGGGGGGCCTCGGCCTCCGAGTCCCAGGAGTCAGCGTCGGCGCTGCTGGAGCCCTCAGCTGTCGTGGGGGGGTAGCTGAGCTGCTCTAACTGGTCGATGATGTCAGAGAACTGCAGGGCTGAGCTGGACTCGGAGCGCACTGAGCAGGCCGGGAAGTTGACCATGGAGCTGGCCTCAGACTGATTGGCGGAACTGGGTGTGTGCAGGGACAGCCCCCCGTGCAGTGGCACGTGACTGAGGGAGCTGGCCTCGGACCGGCTGAGCCTCAGCGAGCTTGTCTGTGACGGCCCCAGCAGCCTCTGCATCAGGCTGGCCTGGGCCTTCACCTCCAACAGCTCCGAGGTGCCCGAGGGCTCTGCACTGCCACTGAAGTCGCTCTCGTCCTCAAAGTCAAAGTGGTCATCTACGTCCATGTCCACTGCCTCAGTGGAGCACCTGTCTGGGCTGGACCGGGCAGACTCCAGGTGCTGGAAGGCATCTGGACCACACAAAGGTGGGGCCGCAGCGGGCACGGCAGGAGCCAATGAGCTATACGGGAAAGCGAAGGCCTCCGAGCCTCCCGCGAAGAAAGAGATGTCTGCGGGGTCGTCATCTATGAACTCCTCAGACACCTGCAGGGGGGTGCTCGTCAGGGTGCAGCCAGAGCCCACCCCAAGGCACAGCCGCCCCCCCCGGTGCTCCCCTGAAGAGGGGCACGAGCCCGCAGCCACGTCGCCCTCGGCACTGCCAGTTCTGTGAGCAGCTCTGCACACCCCGCCGGCCTGCCCCGTGTCAAGGTCGGCGACCCCAAGCCTCTGCCCGGCAGCACCGCCGGGACCACAGCTGCTTACAACGTGACAAAACCCGACACCTGGACCAGGCTGCAGTGCGGGGGGCCCCGGGGGCTGGGCCGATGGTGCATCCAGGCCGTGGGCCGCTGCTCCACAGCTCCTCTCTGCCGCGGGACTCCTGCCCTGGGGAGCCTGGGGATCCGCCAGGGCACTGCTGCCATCCGTGAGCTCAGGCTGGGCGGGAGGGGTGACGGGGGAGGTCGGGAGCCGGCCAAAGGAGGCGCTTGCTGAAGAGAGCGAGGCAGACGTCCTCACGCCCTCGGTGAACGAGATGCTCTGGGGATCACAGTTAAGAGAAGAAAACACGGAGTAAGCGGAATTCCGAGTCACGCGAGGAGCTCCAACGCCACACACGTCTCGGCTCTGGCAAGAGATACAGTGGATGGGACTTCCCTCCAGCACAGCTGACCAACTCGGACCGCCTCCTCTTATGGCCAGAAATGTCCGCAACAGAGCAAACACCCGAGAAGGCCCTGAGCTCACGGCTTGGCTGAGCGTGAGGCAGCTCCGCCTGTGGCTCGCCCAACGTGGGGACGCCGGTGTGATGGCAGCGGGACACACAGTCACCCCCAGGCACAGGGAACACAGGGCTGCTGCCTGGGATCTTCCTTGTCGATGTCAGTGCACAGGAACCCTGGGTTTTTCGAAAATGCTTGGTGAGATGAGGCTCATGAGGACAGGAAATGCTGGAGGGGCCGTGGGGAAAAAGTCCAACAGCCACGCTGCATCCTTGCTACCCCCGCCTGACCACCGCCCCTGCTCACGGGGATATGAAGCCACCCTTGCCACACACTGAGTGCCACTGCACAGAGACACAGGTACACGTGTGCTTGACTGCCACACGGCATCAGCTAGACCCACGTATGACCCATGTATGACCCACATATGGCCAAAGAGAACCAGGCCCTGCTCTGCAGCAGATTCGTGGGCAGCTGGCGTCTGTCACACCTCACATGAGTGACAGCAGCAGGTGCGATGGCAGAAGGCACAGCAACGTCTGTAAAGTTCATCTGTCCTCAAACGCCCACCCGAGCACATTTTCCTACTCATTCCATCACAGTCAGTGTTTTCCCATGGCTTCCAAAAAGCAGTGTAAGAACACTAAAAGCTGAAATGCACTTTCTAGACTCCATACTTTGATACTACATTAGAATTTTATAAAGGAAAATGAAAAAAAAAAAAAACACATTTCCTTTGGATTCCAGTTGATTTAACAAGGAATTTTTAAACAGGAAACACACCTAGGAGAGTTGAGAAAGACACATTAAAAGCCAGCTTGGGACACAGGAGCCTGAGGACAGGGCTGGGACCTCCACGCAATGCAATGTCCACCCAGGACACAGGCCAGCATCCTGATACCCTGGAGCAGCTGGAGCCACTGCATGAAGACGGCCGTATTCTGTGTAAGAGGAAGTCGGGGGCAGCATTTAGCTCAGCAGCTAAGATGCCCTTGTCCCACAGCAGACAGCCTGGGTGCCACCGATGGCTCTGCTCCCGACTCCAGCTTCCTGCCAACAAGCACCCTGGGGGGCAGCAGGTGATGGCCCAAGTACTTGGATCCCTGCCACCACAGGAGAAGTGGATTAACTTTTCAGCTCCTGGCTTTGGCCCAGCCCTGGCCATCATGGGCGCACAGAATAAATCAGCACGGGGCGCCCTGTCACAGTGGTGTGGAGCAGCTGAGGTGCCCCTCAGACGTTCCTGCCACCTCCCGGGCAGTGTCTGTGACTGCAGATGGCTTCGGTCATGCCAATCACTTTTCACTCTTTGCCTAATGGCAGGCATCTATTTGGCTATGGCACTCTCAACAAGTTTGGCTTTTAATGGTTACAAAGAATCGCAGGAAGGAATCGGCTGAAATGGAGCTGGCAAAGCCGCAGCATGGAGTGGCTACTCGGGACAGCCCGGGGCACTGCACACAGCACTGTGGGGTGCGCCTCAGTATGCAAAGGGTGCTCTGTCCTTAGGACTCTTCCTGGAACCAGGCCTCAAACTGAGTGACACAGCCCTGTGACAACACTGCCAGATGACTTCCCCGGAGAGCACACTCACCTGTCTCGGCAGGTCTGCAGTCAAAGCACGCACAGACACCCGTGTTGCACTGTGCCTTCTGCAAAACAGAGTGAACAGTGAGCGACCAGCTCTGCCTTCCCCACACCTGCCCCACAGCAGCGGGTACAGGATGCAGGCATGGAGAAAAACGCACAAAAAACATGGCCATGACTGAGGCAGCATTACAGAAAACAAGAATTCACACCAAAAACAGATGCCCCAAAGAGGCAGGTTATGTGCCCACAGAAACAGGGTAACCATTACTGTAAGCTAAGCTATACAGACTAGACACTAGATAGCAGTATTTATATATGTGTACAACAGCTGCCTAAAGATAGTACAAACCTACAGTTTTATGTATTAGTTAAAAGTAATATATTTTTTAAAAATCTCCAAAATGAGCACAATTATAAGCAAAGGAGCAGTGCTATCCAGCTGTCTGAAAGAAATATGCAGAGAATAAATGTAAAAACCTTGCAAACGCATTTTCTTTAAAAACCTGAAACTCAAGTGTCAAAGCACATGCGTGTGCATCCGGTGCCTTTTCCCTTGGTGGTTCACACGTGTGTGCCGTGAGGCCCCCGAGCTCACCTGTCGTACCGGGCTCTCCTCACCCCTCCGTCTCTAACGTAGTCCACGAGCTGCTTCTGAGTTCTCCCACTGCACAGGAAGATTCACATTTTTAGAGAAGAATCAGTGGCAATTCACAGCATTTATCTCTGAACATTCATTCATTTATTTGAGAGGCAGAGAAGCTGCAGTCAGAAGCAGAGCAGAGACCTGAAGCAGGCCCTGCAACGTGGGCGGTCAGCGCCCCAAATGCCGCCTTAAGCATTGTGCTCACAGACTGAAGACACAGGAAGTGAGGCCGCCCATCCTAACGAACGCGTGCACCTCAAAGGTTCACTCTGGACAGCTGACATTCCCAGTGCGGTTTTATGCTGTTGTGTGACTGTCTCTGGCCCGTGAGGTTCCAAGTACGGTTTTACGCGTGCTGTGTGACTGTCTCTGGCCTGTGAGATTCTGAGTACGGTTTTACGCGTGCTGTGTGACTGACTGTCTCTGGCCCGTGAGGTTCCGAGTACGGTTTTACGCGTGCTGTGTGACTGCTTTTGTCCGTGAGGTTCCGAGTACGGTTTTACGCGTGCTGTGTGACTGTCTCTGGCCCGTGAGGTTCCGAGTACGGTTTTGCGCGTGCTGTGTGACTGTCCCAGTGGCTACACTGTCTCAGAACTGCTCTCCTGCCTGTGAGGTTCTGAGTAGGTTTTATGCCTGTGGTCTGACTGTCTGTCCCCATGGCTATGCTGTCTTGGTGCTGCTCTCCTGCCCCACAGTGCAGAGGGAGCCCGGCGTGTCCCCACCTGTATCTGAAGGAGGAGCCCCGGGTGAAGAACACGGCTTTCGCTTTGGGCTTCGGCTGGTCAGCGAGCCTGAAAAAGGCGTGGTGCTCCACACAGAGCTTCCAGAAGCTCTTGCACTCGTCTCTGGTCCCCAGCAGGAACTCCAGCGTGTCCTGGTAGGGCCCCTGCAAACGAGGTCCCAGAATCCAGTGCGCACAAGAGGCAATTCCAAAATTAAGAATTAAGAAACATGTTTCTGAGAGTTGGTTACAAAGACTTCCTGCTCCATTTACTGGAGAAAAACCAAAGCATATCTGTTCATTGCGAAAGAGGAAAATGAAGACCCTGGTACTTGGACTGGGATCTAAGATCCAACCCCACAGGGTGCAGATGGGACTGCATGAACACGACTCTAATCAGCAGTGGGCAGGGTTCTCCTGCCCTGTCCTCTCAGAACCACCTCAGTGGGCACTGCTTTCACTCACAGAGGAAGAACGTGGCCCCGTATTTGCATTCTGTGGCTGCTTGGCCTGGAGTGAACCGGTGGTGGAAGACCCTCTGCTTCTCCACCTCCCCAACAAAAGAAAACAAACAGGCTTTCAAATATCAGGTAAAGGTTTTCTTCTGATTGGTCCAAGGGCTCAAATCCCCCATGACCCACAGAGTGTCTAAGTGAACACCGCACTGCACCTCTGTCTCTTTTAAGGATTGATTTATTTTCTTTCTTTTTTTTTTTTTTTTTGGACAGGCAGAGTTAGTGAGAGAGAGACAGAGAGAAAGGTCTTCCTTCCATTGGTTCACCCCCCCAAAAGGCCGCTATGGCCAGTGCGCTGCGCCGATCCCAAGCCAGGAGCCAGGTGCTTCCTCCTGGTCTCCCATGCAGGTGCAGGGCCCAAGCACTTGGGCCCTCCTCCACTGCACTCCTGGGCCACAGCAAAGAGCTGGACTGGAAGAGGAACAACCGGGACTAGAACCTGGCGCCCATATGGGATGCCAGCGCCTCAGGCGGAGGATTAACCAAGTGAGCCATGGCACTGGCCCCTATTTATTTATTTTGAAGGCAGAGTTACAGAGAGGGAGGGACAGACAGAGCTTTCATTTGCTGATTCACTCCCCAAAAAGCTGTAATGGCCAGGGCAGGGCCAGGCTGAAGCCGGGAGCCTAGAACTCCACCTGGGTTTCCCACATGGGTACAGGGTCCCAAGGACTTGAGCCATCTTCCACTGCCTTCCTACATGCACTCACCAGGAGCTGGTTCAGAAGCAAAACAGCCAGGGCTCAAACTGGCACCCAGTGTTTGGGATGCCAGTGTTGTAGATGGTGGCTTAACCAGCTGCACCACAATGCTGGCCCCATATTGTCATCTCTTAAGCTCTCAACCATGGTAGCCTGGCTAATCTACTGAAAAAATTATTGACTTACTTGAGAGGCAGACAGAGAGAAAGGAAAGATTTGTCCCATCTGCTGGTTCACTCCTAAAATACCTACAAGAGCTGGCACAGGGACCCAGGAACTCAAGTCTCCCACGTGGGTGGCGGGAACTCAGTTACCCAAACCACCACTTCTACCTCCCAGGACCCAGGCCAGCAGGAAGCCAGAACCAGGAGCGGTGCCTGTGCTTGAACCCAGGCACAGACACGCACACATCACCTGTTACTCCTGGCTCCCTTTGTGCAACTGTATCAAGTAACAATTTGAACATTTCTGAACAGTTGTAGGACTGGGTTCTGTTCACTTTCACTCATTTCAGGGAAGTCACGGAATTATTTCTTCAATGACCAGCAACTGAAGAAAGGAATATTTATGTCCTGACTGCCAGGGCTCAGAGGTCAGTGCTGAACCTGAGGACGCCCTTAGCCTGTTGCCACTCAGCAAGGCTCCAGATCACTCAGGAGAGCATGGCTGCCCAGAGCAAAAACAGCGGACAGCCCATGGCTCTCGGTGCCTTTGGGCCCCGCCCTGCCCTGTGGACCCTGCGAGGTGGGGAGCGTCCTGGGGGAGCCGCTGAGCTGATGCCCACAGCCCCTCCACACCCACCTTGAGTCTGTCCCTAAGCTCGTGGACATGCAGATGCTGAAGAAACGTGCAGAGCAGGGTGAAGAAAGCTAGCATTGCTATTCGAGAACTGATTCTCGTATAACTTAAGCAATGTTCAAAATAACACTTACGTGAAGAAAACTAGCATTGCTATTCGAGAACTGATTCTCGCATAACCTAAGCAATGTTCAAAATAACACTTACGTGCACCTCTGGGTGGAGTTTGATGAGGAACCGCTTCCTCCTGAAGCTTAGTTTGCGAACCTTGGACCAGTTGAACGTGTTGATCTTGGTGGTGCCCTGCAGTCAGGGAGACAGATGCTCAGCAGTGCAGCTGCGCCTGGGTGCAGACCGCCAGCCCCACCTGGTGCCTCCCACCACCTCCAGAACCACCCCCAGCTGCAACATCCACACCCAACCGGCCGTCTGACTCAGAAAGGCAAGCTGCCTTCCTCGATAGGGCCTTATTATAAAACACTTTTTCTATATAGATTTATTTATTTATTTGAAAGGCAGAGTTACAGAGAGGCAGAGAGAGAGAGAGAGAGAAAGACAGAGAGACCATCTGCTGGTTCACTTCTCAAATGGCTGCAACAGGGGAGTTGCAAGATGGTGGCATAGCGACAGGGAGGTCTGCTCCAGGCCAGGCGAACTCAGCGGGACGAGGAGAAGGTGCACTCTCGGGGTTGGGGGAGGGTCCTGCGGAGCAGCGGAAATGGCCTGGACCTGGGTGGGAGGCCAGACGCCTGGACCTGAGTGGGAAGTGCACTCGCCTGGACCTGGGTGGAGGCCAGACGCCTGGACCTGGGGGGGAAGTGCACTCGCCTGGACCTGAGTGGGAGGCATAGACGCCTGGACCTGAGTGGGAGGCATAGACGCCTGGACCTGAGTGGGAAGTGCACTCGCCTGGACCTGAGTGGGAGGTGCGCTCGCCTGGACCTGAGTGGGAGGCCAGACCCCAGGACCTGGGTGGAGGCGCGGATGCGCAGCAACGAGCACAACACAACAAAGGACCCAGCGGCCCACTCCAGTGAGCGAGGTGAGGTCAGACTGCTCGGCCTGTGCCACTGCTGATACAGCAGGGGGGACAGCCTCGTGGACTGCATCGTCCTTGAGTCTGGCCCGGAATCCTCAGGGGAGCGGGGCAACTGCTCACCCAGAGGGCAGGAAAAACAAAAAAAGCAGCAGTGTCCCTCCCGCCACCAGCACCCTGCGGCCAGCCGTGCGGGGGCTGGCGCCATCTTGGATGTAAGAGGTAGCAGCTGCTCCAGAGCTGAGCTAGCAGGGACAGTCGGTTCCAGTCGATTGGTGGGGAAGGTCTCCACCGTGTCACAGGGCAGCAACACCAGCTCCCCTGCGCCCAGCCAGCAACAGGTGGGAAGGGGGAGCCATCCCCACTGAAGGGACTCGTGCACGCACCCAGCACAACTGTGGAAGCAGTAGGGCTGTGGCTGGCGGGTACTGTGCACACGTGTGATCCAGGGGCTTTACCAGAGGGAAAAAAATGCATTTCCCACTGACTTTGAGTCTGGCTGGGAGGATGAGGCTCCATCCCTCCAGGCAGAACACACATGGGCAGCGGCTCTGGGAACCCCTCAGTGACTCTGTGTACAGGACAGGCTAGTGGGGTGCAGTGGACCGTCTTGTACTCCTTGACCATGTGAGTCATGGTACTGAGACTGTGAAAACACTGACTGTGTGAGAGGGGACAGGTGTATGCAGCTGAGGTCTGGGCAAGCTCTGGGTGCAGAGCCACTTTCCTGGAACTCCTTGGTTGTCGGGGCAGCTTATTACAGCTGGAACCGTGCTCATGGTGAGGACTGCACAGACCATTTATGCAGTTCCTACAGTGTGGGGAGCAACTCGGACTAGACTAAGTTACTGGAATTAAGACTTATTCTATGCATCTGCTTTCCCACAATATGGCGCTGAGAAGGGAAACAGCTTCTACACAGCTGCCTCCAGTTCAACCAATAAACTGTAGGACCTGCTCCTGATTGGAGGAGAGCAGCGTACTCGGCGTGTGGGTAGCAGAGTTGGGATTGGTGGAAGAGGACTATAAAGGAGGAGAGAGACAACATGCACCAGGAACATCTAAGGGGAACACCTGAGGAACATCTGAGCAGCCCCCGAGAGAGCCGGCCGGCGGTGTGCCGCTCCCCTGCGGAAGTGGGGAATGTGGCCAGGGGGAACTGCCCTTCCACGGAGGTGGAAGGGACAGTAGCCAACCCGGGAAGAACCAGCAGCAAACCCGGGGAGGGCCGAGCAGACGAAAGAACAACGCAGGGTCCTGTGTCATTCCCCCACGAAGACGGGGAGCGACACTACAGAGGCACAGATGAGTGCTGAACACGCTGGGGACTAACACCAGGACATCACTCAGCTTGGAGGAGAGGAGGTGAGGGGTGACCACACCAACAGAGGTGACCATCCCCCTCCCTCCTGTTAACAAGAGATCTACCACGCCCAACCTGGGTGTCACCCTGGATACTCACCCCACCCTGAGCACGGACCAGAGCTCCCTGGCCACGCCCACCACACACCTCTCGGTATGCACTGAAGGCACAGACATTCCACTAAGCTACAGAGGCACAGCTCAAAGATAAGAGCCATCCGAGGAAAAAATGCAACTAATTCCACAAATGTCTAAAAATAAAGGAAGAAATTCAAGAAACAACAATAGGAAGACATCATGACCTCCCCGCAAAGGACACACGCCATTTCAGGATCAGAGTGTGGAGATGAAGAGCGTGATGAAGTGCCAGAAGGGGACTCAAATCTAATCACAGGGTCACAACAGCAAACAGGAGCAAACCCCCGATCCGCAGACCAGACCTGACACGAATGCATTTTTCCCCAAGAAATTGAGATTTTACAAACAAAAATGAAATATTAGAAATGAAGAATTCAATAGATCGAATCAAAAATGCAGTGAAAAGCCTTAACAACAGACTTCGTGAGGCAGAAGAAGCAATATCCAAGTTAGAAGATAAATCTCTGAAAATTTTACAGTCATACCAAAAAAAAAAAAAAAAAAAAAAAAAAAAACCAAAGAAATTAGAAAACTGAAAAACAAAGTCAGAGATTTACGGGATACTATTAAACAACCCAAAACATGGGTCTTAGGAGTTCATAAAGGCATGGATTAGAAGGCCTAATTATTGAAATAAATACAGAAAACTTTCCTAATTTGAAGAAAGGGACATTCAAATACAGGAAGCACACAGAACTCCTAACTGACATGACCATAAAGATCTTCACCACAGCACATTGTAGTGAAACTCTCCACAGTAAAACACAGAAAAGATTCTAAAATGTGCACAGGAGAAACGCCAGATTACTCTCAGAGGAGCTCCAATTAGACTCACAGCTGACTTCTCATCAGAAACCCTACAGGCTAAGAGACTGGTAAGATTTAGTCCAAGTTTTTAGAGAAAAAAAAACTGTCAACACAGAATACTGTACTGTGAAAAGCTCTCATTTATACATGAGTATGATCCCAACCACAACAGCAACATTCTCCTCAGATCTAGAAAAATTGATGCTAAAATTCCTAGGGAGGCCAGCGCCGCGGCTCACTAGGCTATCCTCCGCCTAGCGGCGCCGGCACACCGGGTTCTAGTCCCGGTCGGGGCGCCGGATTCTGTCCCGGTTGCCCCTCTTCCAGGCCAGCTCTCTGCTGTGGCCAGGGAGTGCAGTGGAGGATGGCCCAGGTGCTTGGGCCCTGTACCCCATGGGAGACCAGGAAAAGCACCTGGCTCCTGGCTCCTGCCATCGGATCAGCGCGGTGCGCCGGCCGCAGCGCGCCAGCTGCGGCGGCCATTGGAGGGTGAACCAACGGCAAAGGAAGACCTTTCTCTCTGTCTCTCTCTCACTGTCCACTCTGCCTGTCAAAAAATAAAATAAAATAAAATAAAATAAAATAAAATAAAATAAAAAAAATAAAAAAAATTCCTAGGGAAACACAGGAGATCCTTACTATCTAAAGTAGTCTTAAACAACAAAAACAAAGCCAGAGGATCATAGTACCAGATTTTTTAAAAAAAGATTTATGTATTTGAAAGGCAGAGTTACAGAAAGGCAAAGGCAGAGGCAGAGGCAGAGGCAGAGAGAGAGAGAGAGAAAGGGAGGTTTCCATCCTCTGGTTCACTCCCCAGATGGCTGCAATGGTTGGAGCTGCGCCGATCTGAGCTGAGCCAGGAGCCAGGGATGCCGGCACTGCAGGCGGCAGCTTTATCTGCTACACCACAGTGCCAGTCCCAGTTTGTATTGAAATCCGGTATTATGTGGGGCTGCACTGTGGCATAGCAGGTGAAGCTGCTGTGTACAGTGCCAGTATCTCATATGGACACCGGTTCGAGTCCCAGCTGCTCCACTTCTGATCCAGCTCTCTGCTATGGCTTGGGAAAGCAGCGGAAGATGGCCCAAGTCCTTGGGCCCCTGCACCTGTGTGGGAGACCTGGAAGAAGCTCCTAGATCGGTGCAGCTTCGGCCGTTGTGGCCATCTGGAGAGTGAACTAGTAGATGGAAGATGTGTCTCTCTCCCTCCCTCTCCCCCACTCAAATAAATAAATACATATATACATAAATATTTTTTAAAAGACCTCCTACAGGGCAATGATCATCAAATCAGCCTGGTACTGGCACAAAAACAGATGTGTAGACCAATGGAACAGAATAGAAACCCCAGAAGTCAATCCACACATCTACAACCAACTTATGTTTGACAAAGGAGCTAAAACCAATCCCTGGAGTGAGGACAGTCTCTTCACCAAACAGTGCTGGGAGAACTGGATTCCACGTGCAGGAGTATGGAACAGGACCCATTACACAAAACCCATTCAACACGGATCAAAGACCTAAATCTACTACCCTATACCATCAAATTACTAGGGATCATGGGGGACACTCTGCAAGACACTGGCACAGGCAAAGCCTTCGTGGAGAAGCCCCCAGAGGCACAGGCAGCCAAAGCCAACACGGACAAATGGGATTACATCAGGCTGAGAAGCTCCTGCATTGCAAAAGAAGCACTCAGCAAAGCGAAGAGGCAACCGACAGAATGGGAGAAAATATTTGCAAAGTGTGTAGCTGATAAAGGGTTAATATCCAGAATCTATAGAGTTCAAGAAACTCAACAACAAAACAAACAACCCAGTTATGAGAAATGGGCAGGGCTGGTTCTGTGGCTAGAGGGTTGGGCCATCGTCTGTAGTGCTGGCATCCTATATGGACGCTAGTTCAAGACCTGGCTGCTCCACTTCTGATCCAGCTCTCTGCTATGGCCTAGGAAAGCAGTA